GAGAGAGAGTCGTTTAAGTCAGTCAGTCAGAGGGAGAATTTAAAAAAAGAGTGTTTTTTTGAAATTTTCTGGAGGGACGAGTGTTATGTCCCTCGTACACATAGAGGAGATCTTCCGACTAGACAATGGATACATTTTAATATACACATAGTAGCTTATTACTTAGACAGGAAACATCATGAGATATTTATTAAAGGTATATTTTAAAACCAAACGCGTACGGCGTTCGATTTTAAGATGTACAAGTTATTAAATGTCCGTATTGGCTGTGTTACAAGCAATATACCTAAATATATGTTGTGTTTTTTTTTAATTTACAATTTGACATTGCATTGTTATGCTTTATTAACATCTATCTATTAAAAAAATTGTTTAATATCAATCCATTGTTGTGTATACCAAGTCTTATCTATAGTTTTAACACAGCCACTAGTACCATCCTTATCTTGAACTAGCTGACCCGCGCAACTTCGTCTGCGTCTCTCAATAGTAATAAATTTCCTCCGTTTTTGAAACATTCTTCATTGGTGCACCGCTCCTATTGGTCTTAGCGTGATGATATATAGCCTATAGCCTTCCTCGATAAATGGGCTATCTAACACTGAAAGAATTTTTCAAATCGGACCAGTAGTTCCTGAGATTAGCGCGTTCAAACAAACAAACAAACAAACTCTTCAGCTTTATAATATTAGTATAGATAATTTTTGTCGTGGATTATGTTGTAAGCCTTTTTTTGACGGGATGGAAAATCCTTTCGGATCTACGGCTCATCGGGGACGCAGGAGCCACGAGTATGTGGTGTTTCCACTAAAAACCACCCCGTCGGCCGGTCTCAGGCCCTCTGTGGAGCACCCGGACCCGGACCGGATTATTTCAGGTTCCCGGATAGACGTCGCGCCTAGTAAGGCCCTATCCCGGGGAAGCTATGCTGTAAGAGATGTGAGATGTATATTTTTAAATTACAATTCTGTGCTACCTGTGATGAGTGATTTAAGTCGACTCGTAGCCTTTTTGTGACTTTTCCATCCAAATTTTTTGAAAAAGAATATATTTTCGTTCTTTTATCTACTAAAATTTCGGAGATCATTCTGTGCAGTGATATGACTAGCAGGATTTTTGCAAAAATATCGTGTAAGATAAAATATCATAATAAAAGAGGTATTTCAAGTTACATGTCAGTCAATCTTTCTTCGTATTTCGTGGTATAAGTGCGATTATATTAATTTACATATTAAAATTTTCAGTATATTTATCGTGAATATTGATATAATTAGAGTTATATCACTTTGAACAGATCCGAATCTAAATTTTTCAATAAAAAACTGAATTTAAAAGACAGAGATTTTGCAATTTTCATACCTTGCTTCAAATTATCGTAATTTTTATAGAAAATTAATTATGTTTTCAAAATAAATTATAGCCTGTGTTACTCGCTGATAATGTAGTTTACTATTGGTGAAAGAATTTTAAAAAACCGGTTAAGTAGTTTCGAAGTCTATTCATAACAAAGAAACAAACAAAAATTCAAATCTCTTCTCTTTATAATATTAGTAAAGATCAAGATATAAGTAGATAGGATATAGAAAGAAAGGATATAGATTGTACTATCGGAGGTCTATATAATATCTGACATCAACGCCGTCCTTATAGTTAGGTACGTCTTAAGACGTTTTTCGTAACGGAGACAAAATAACTTGTTTTTTGTTAATGGAAGAGCAGAAGTTAAAATATGCATGGGTAATGCCTGTGGCAAGAATCGAACCATATAAAGCTATCTATCAAGATAACCGAACTTATCATATACATACATACAGAAGCTGGTTACTGGTTCACTAGTCGTGAATGGTGTACTTGACATCGAAAATACTAGGCGTTCGAGGATGCAAATAGAAACGCATCACTGGATCCCCAGCTGATGTACTGTACTGTACTGTACTACATCAGTTAAGCGCGATAATTATCTCAAAATTTCTTTAATCCTATGTAAGACCTCTAATTCATTAATAAAAAGAGGAATATTCCTGATTCATTATGATATGTATACGACATATATCCTTACAACAGTAACAATTCACGCAAACTCACGACACATTCCCGATAACTCACTCACTCTTGGCAAATGCAGTACTTAGACTAATAATGCACCTTCTTAAGTCAGTTTAAGGTTTTTTAAGCTAGTATCCAGATGTTCCAACTCAGAGATAATAGCAGTACCTACTCCATTTTGGAAGAAAATTGTCAGGTGTAAGGTCTTTTACCATTTTTATCATGCGGAAATCCCCTCGGGTACACCAACGGATACGGATGGTTATGTAGGACTCCAACCGACTAAAACCCTCTCAACCCGTCTCTTGTACCAGTAGCCGGGGAACCTGGTGTAACCTGACACGATGTCCCTTTACTTGCGCTCGTGCTCCGGAAAGCGTCGGGCACCTTCTGCGGGGTTAACAGATGGCCTCACCTGTCACCTGCGCTTATGGAGGATGGAGATCGTTCAAGGACCTCCGGCGCCTGAGCCGTTACCTGGCCCGTTCCCGGGCCTGGTCAGTTCTAAACCTTTTTCGGTCCCGATCCTGGTCTCCGTACTGAAAGGAGGCGTCGGAGTTCCACACACTCTCGCTATTCCTCGCAGACCAAGGTTATTCTCATGGTACCTAGTGAGAGAATCCCCACTCCAAAGGCCGTCACGAGGCCACGCCTATGCTGCACCCACTGCTCCCCATTCAGACATCGAATCTATCCATGTTCCACTAGGGCCCATGAGTCATGTCCATAAATATTTATAATAAAATAAGTACACTGCACATTTAAAAATAAGTTACAAAAGTATTTCTTACAAAAGAGCTTCATTGCTGTAGTTTTTAATGATAAACGATAGCGTAGTGATGGCGTAGACGACGGGATGGCGTAGTGGTTTGTGTAACGGACTGCTATTCCAAATTTATTAATTTGGAATTAATTTATTGCGGGTTATTGAATGCGATGAATATTTAATGTTTGATTTGGTCTGGATGTTTCCATGTATAATATGTATTTATTTACAAAAAAAAAGTATATTTATATGTGTCAGTTGTCTAGTACCCATGGTACAAACTCTGCTTAGTTTGGGACTAGATGGCGTTGTGTGAATGTGGTAGGATATTATTATTATCATAAAATATTTTATTCTATGGAAAGCATATTTTAATATCATAAAATAAGATACAAAAAAAAATTAGTCAATTCTTCAACTGTTCAATTTTTAATGTAATTTGATTTTTAATTAGAATTATATAATTTGTACTACGACAATAGATAAAGTAAAATTGATAAATTATTATTGAGCATGTATACAACGAAAACATCATTACTTTATTTTATTTATTAACACAACTTTAAGCATTTTATATTTATTTATTTATTTATCGATCTTGGAAGGCTTACAGCGAAAATAACATTTTAGTGAGTGATATAACAATGTGTCAGCCAATGACAAGTCTCCACTTGTAAACATCATTATAAGTGTATGGACAGACATGGTTTCTACCGCTTACGCTTTCTTAATAATAGAATAGATATTGGTATTGGTTGTGGGCTTCGGTTTCCGCATTTAGACTCAGAGTGGTCCTTTATGCGTTAGAATAGATATTAAAACTAATAAGAAAAAAATATATCATTTGTACCTACTTTGATGTTAACATTTTGCTGTGCCTTAACAGGGCTTCATGTTAAGAGTTATATTGTACCTAATAAACAACAATGTACACACATAAATGATTGATTTTATGATTGATGAATTGATTTGTCTGCCGATATGAGAGGGTCCCGTGTGGGTAAGTCAAGCCACCCTTTCATAACGGGTCGTTCACAAGTCGTTCCTACCAGAAAAGTCTTTGCCAATTTAAACCAGTAATAGGACGCTATCTTGGTTTAGCTTTCTGAGTGACTTTGAAACTACAACAACACACAATGTTTCGTTAGAGAATGATTAAGATGTTGCAGAATATGAAACAACTAAAGAAGGCAATGATAAGTAAAATTTGAATCAAATTGTATGAAAGATTTTTATACATTTGTAATACAAAGAGTACTACAAATGTATAAAAAAGTCTTTGAAAGCAATTCTTTACATCATTTGTATTTTTGACAATAGTTCAATAAGCTGGAATTCAACTAACAGCCACGAACGTAAGTCGCGACTCACAAAATAGTAACTACAACTAAACAGCCTAGATTACCGGACGCGGCGATAAGTAACTGGTGTATGTGAGTAAGCTCAGCACAGCTATTTGTAGTATATTAAATCATCTCAATCCGCTTCAGAAATTCATTGTTTCTTTATGTGTTCAGTTATATTACATAAAAACATAAGTTTTACAAATACCTTACGGATACATCTGATATATTTGTCACTCATTGAAAATTTGTATTTTTGTTATTGTTAAAATTTTCACCTGCCTCATCACATCAACATATTTCATTATATAAATTTAGATAATATTAATTATAGACAATAACATTTCTTATAGTGCGTTGCGCTGAATATCGATCATGTTGTATGCAAAAAAAAAAAAAACTTTTCTACTAATAGTAATTTTCCAATAGTAAGTAAAGAAATTTGTGCTGCATTGGTACTAACAGAAACCGTCTGCATTTTAATTCAACGTATCTGAACATCTTTCCTAACCCAATTGCGACTCGTTTTAGTCTTCAAATACGTGAATGACATTTGCCGAACGAGGTAGAATGTTACCCGACATGTATACAGAGCCTATTAATCTATCTAGGGATTATAACTTGATGAAAGTTTCTGGGAATAATCTTGAATACAAGGAAAGTTGTGCTTCAAACCTGTGGTTTAAATAAAATTTACAAAGATTAACTGTTAATCTTATTTTGAAATTCAGTAAATGTCAAAACCATAGCTAACAAAAGTTGGAAATCGACGTTCCGACCGACAGAAAGGCCAGAGAGAGACGTCCTGACTTGACTGACGTCGATCATCAATCAAATATTCCAATATGGCCGATTGCTTCCGATGGGGTTGTTCGCGGTTAAATTTTACAAATTTAGAGTTTTAACTAATAAGATATCATTAAAGACTACATTGTCTTACATTATAATGTAAGTCAATGTATCTAACAAAGACATTTACGTAAGTAAGACAACTGGAAATGTGTAAAATTAGAGAAATCCTTGACATACCATGAAAGTTTCGAAGTGGCCTCCGTATTTCACGTATTAAACGCTACTTTCATTTTCAATTTGCAGGTATGCTGAAGATGCCAGTTAATTCTGTAACTGAATCGAAAAAAGGAGACGAAAAACCAAAATTTTCCCTGTCATTAAACAGAAATAATGCAACTTATTTGAGCAGAGAAAATAAGAAACCGATAGAGAATTCGAAGGAGAACAGTAGTGACCCTTTCAAGCAATCCACTAGTAGTAATAAAGAAAACAAGCCTTTGAAAAGACCTTTGAAGAGCTTATACTCGAATACTTTATTAGTGGCGAAGAGATTAAAGCCCCTGACTGAGTCATCAAAGCCTACTACAGGTATTGTGTAATAGACCGGTAGGTACTAAAATCCACCGAGTGTTCAAGTCCTCATAGTTTTTTTTTAATTTCATAGAAATATGCATTTGGATATGTGATATATTTCTCCTTTCTGTGTAAGAAGATTGCTAGTTATTTATAAACTTCTAAAAGTGCCTGGATTTTACTGTGCAGTGTGTACCTAGTCCAGAAATGTTAAGTATTAAGTATGATGCTATAGTTTTGACCAGTCATTGAGGACTACACGAAACAATCAATGCTCTCTCGTAGACATACACACAACTATAGTTCATTAAAGTTAAAATATACTAATATTGTAAAACTGAAGAGTTTGTTTTGTAGAATCTCAGAAAGTACTGCTTTGAATGAAAATTGTTTATGTTTGATATCCCATTTATCAAGATAGGCTATAAAGCATCATGATAGGATGAAAAGGAGCCTAGCATTAGTAAAAAGTGTTGCAAAAACAGCAAAAAGTTATTCATTTTAAGAGACGCAGACCAAGTTGTGTGGTTCAAACCATGATCTGTTCTGATATTTACAAAATATTTCATAATCAAATTAGATTAAAAGTTTAGGAAAAAGATAAAGAATAGATATATTATGTTCAATATATTAATTTACAATCACAATAGTTAATATCCAATTTGCTTTTGACAAAATATTGTCAGGGTCGTTATATATCAATAGTGGATATGGATTTAAGGGATTACACAATATAAAATACAACTGTTAAATTGTTCTTATCTGCACAAGTTATGTAGTGAAATGTGTAAATGTAAAAGATATTTTCTGTGTATTATTATTTGTGAGTGAAAATTTATATTTTATCAATACTTTCTACTAAACTATGGTATGCAAACCCTGTACTAATTGTGAAAGAATCCTTTTTGTGGAATGTTATTGTCCTGGATGTATCATATCTATAACAAATATTAAATAATTCTAGTCATCGATAGCCTTTAACAGTCTACTGCTAGACATAGGCTTTGCCTTAGAAAGGAGGTTTTAACCAGTACTTCTAATAATTCACTTAATAACTTTAAAAAAATATGTTTCAGAGAGTTTATATAATCCAGAACTCATAGTATTGGACCAGCCTTTGGCCCGCCCTGCCATGTTGAATGGCCATCATACGACAGACACTCAGTATGCGGGGACTACACAACGCAAGGCCCCCATCGCTACACTCTCCAATTTGGGAAATACATGTTTCCTCAACAGTGTGCTCTATACTTTAAGGTAAATGCTAGGGATTGACTTTATTATTTACTTATAGAATTCCCTTACAACTTTTAAGTTGTACATATGTAAGTGACAAATACATATTGCATGGATATATATTGTATATATTTATATTGTGTAAATATAGATGTGTATGTATTTAAATATTTATGTATGTAAGTATGCCTATAAATATATATTTACATATTTCCACACTTGCAGCTTTGTTACCCCTAGACTTCACCTTGTTTATTTTATCTACTGTCGATTTATCCATCCAAAGATTGCCTCTAAGAGATTTCTTTTTTAACAATAAGGCTGCTCATTGAACATATCTTTTTGTAATATCTTATTGTAATTCGTGTACAATGAAGCATATTCTACCTGTCTATCTATCTACATATTATGTTTTATATCTAGTAAAAAGGTAAATGATAAACAAATTTAACATTAAATAATATGAAATATACAAGGAGACAAACTCTTTTATCTCTTGTAACAAAGTTTATCTCTTAATAAATCTGTTTTTCAGTCTGTTTTATCAGTAGTGAAGTATAATATAGAATTCTATCCAGAAAACTTTTTTTTAAATCAAGTTCTCTCACATACATCTAAATACTGTAAAATTATAATATCCTATATTATATCTCTATGCACTTTGTTGAATTTTTGGAATCAAAATAGTTTGTAACTATTTAGATTACAGTAGAGCTTATCCTGTAAAAGCAATGTCACCACTTACCATATTAAAAAAAGGAATAAATAAATATTTAAAAGAGTATTGGGGTCAAAAATCAATCAAACAAGCTTACATGTTTATAGATTTCAAAATTTATTAAAAACTAGCTGGCACCTTGAACTTCGTCATTTTAGAATGGTGTGCCTTAATGGTGTAGTACAGTATGCGACTGCAGTCGATGAGGCCTCAGGTTTGATGCCCAGATTGGCAAAGTTTTATAGGGTGTTTCTGAGAAGAAAAATAACTTAAGTTACCTCTTATAACAACAACTACCTGGTAGTAAAATATTATTAAAATCGGTCAAGCTGTTTTGAAGAACATACAGACAGACAAATAATAATAAAAAAAAACCTACTTGACATTACAAACAGACTTTAATTTTATTTATTTGTATAGATCATCCAGCAATTCGCAAATGCTTACCAATGAACAGAAATGAATTTTCTGTCTGGTATCTATACCTCTATGTATCTGGCTCTAGCCAGATAGTTAAAGCACTTTAAAATGCTGGTTTAAGAAATATCATATTAGTCTATGATGTAAAAAGTAACCCACAACTATAATTTTCCCATAGTTTGTGTAACTCATTTTTTTTTTATTGTAGTAATAATTTGGATTTAAATAGTAAAGATTTAATTTCAGTTAAAGACAACTCTCGCACCTGTGTCGGAGAGGATTGACTTACTACCTGCAATGCCTAATTCGATTTTGATATAAGAGTTAGATTGTGCATTAACTACATATATCTTTAATTATTCTAGACTTTTTACTTCTCATAATCCTGTTAATATCTTGTATAAAAGAATTAATTTACTTATATTTTATTACAGATATGCACCAAGGTTTCTACACAACTTACACCACCTTGTAGCAGACTTAGCCAGTGTAGAACAGAAACTTGGTAGCATCAGATTAAAAAGCTCTTCTTTGGGCAGAAGTGCAGCAGGTTTGGCATCATCAGGGACCAGATCTTGGAGCAGTAAAGATTTGTTGTCCCTGGGACAATCAGACACTAGTGCAGGAAAGAGTAAGATACAGGTATTTATTAAAGATTTTAAAGATATTCAAATGTTTTATGCTTTGAAGTGTATATTATGAATAATTCTTCTTATCTGTAATAATTTTCTGCTGCTTCAAATCTAATTTTTATGCTTGTCAGCTATTTAGAGGTACAAAAGTGATACACTACATAATTGTTCTTCACTTTTATGATTTCATTTATGATAGCAGTGATAGTGATATAACCTAGTTTTAAATATCTATGGCATGTAGGAAATTACTAAAGGTTGAAACATGTGATCAAGGGATTGCGAATTTAAATCCCATCCAGTGTACTACTCATCTAACGCCGGATAAGTCGTTAGGTTAGTTAGAGAGGTTAAAAAAACCAATGGTGTCTCAAAATAAAACTACAAATTCTCGTAATAAAAATACAAAAATCCATAAAAAGGATATATATTTTACATAACCACCAATGTAAGTAAACATTCCACTGATACAATCTATACTAATATTATAAAGCTGAAGAGTTTGTTTGTTTGTTTGTTTGAACGCGCTAATCTCAGGAACTACTGGTCCGATTTGAAAAATTCTTTCAGTGTTAGATAGCCCATTTATCGAGGAAGGCTATAGGCTATATATCATCACGCTAAGACCAATAGGAGCGGAGCACCAATGAAGAATGTTTCAAAAACGGAGAAAATTTATTACTATTGAGAGACGCAGACGAAGTTGCGCGGATCAGCTAGTGATCTCATATATTGACTTCATCTTATTATGCTAAAGTTTTGATAACGTACAAATATTGAATACTAGGCTGATAAGAACACATGCTAAATAAGTGATAAATGTAAAAAAAAAATATTTTATCAAGATTACAGTAACCCGAAATGTGTTTATACAAGTTATCTGAAGTCTTAAGTAAGATAACCATGAAGTATTTTATGTTTTTGATCTACCTTTTACCTTGGCACAGTTTTCCTGTAAGCTGGTAAAGAATGAAATTATCTAAATGTTATTATAAAATACTTTGCCCTGACTGACTCATGGATCAACTTACACCCTAAGCTGCTAGTCATAGGTATCCGACAAGAGAAAATTTTTGAATATCACACCCCCTTTTTTTTATTTTCTTTCTGTGCGGTAATCCCCTCGGATACCAGCTACCGGACAACCGGTAGTGTGATTTTGTCGGACTCGGACTTATTAAAAACAGCACATCGTCTCGCAGTAGCAGGGGAACCAGGTGTATCCTCTATGGCTTGTAGATATGCCCTTCGTTTGTGGGAACCACACACCTTTAACCTTTCTATAGTGTTCTTTCGTGTTTTAAATATACCCAAACACTAATTTCACTACAAAAATATAACGGAGACTAATAATGATGATAGGTGATGGCAAATATGTAATGGTTTTTATAGCTAGAATACTTATAATAGTTTAAGAGGCTTCTAAAATAAATAAAAAAGAACTAAGCTCCCATAGCTCCTAGTTTCTCAGTAACAAAAAATAAATCCTAAAACTTGCAATAACAGTTTATCAATGACATGTGTAGTACAAATGTCATTGGAAACTGAATAATTAGTTCAATACCTTATGCTTATAATGAAAACACTTTGTTCGCGTTTTTTTAGGTTAAATAAAATTGGTTGAGTGACAGTATAAAATGTGAATCAAACGTTGTTACAATAATGTTATGGCTAACTAAGACCCACGACTTCGTGTGGATCTCGTTTTTAGGAATTTATCACATTTTTATAGTGCTTGTTTACAAACAATATTGGGCGTATGTTATCCATTTGCTAGGCGTATGTTATTCTTAATTGATGAAGTGTAGCCTGAGCTTGGAAATGGATTTTTTTCAAATCTCTCCTTGCATTTTATTTTCAGATAGCCACAGAGAAACTACACGAAACATATTTAAACTTGCGTGCTGCGGAGAGCAAATGCCTGAACAGTAGTTCTGCAGATGCCAGCCCTGAACCATTTGCTGCCGACGCATTTCTGGCTGCACTTAGAGATGTTAACTCAACTTTTGAAGGTTAATACATTTCACATAGCACTGTAGATAACAGAGGCGTTGTAAAGAAATTGTAACCTAGGCAATATTAAATAGATAATCACGAAACATATAAATATAATAGTTATTTATTTTTCATTAGGCAACAGGCAACAGGATGCTCATGAACTGCTGGTGTGCATACTAGACAACATTAGAGAAACGTGTCGAGCTTTAAGCGCAAGAGCCAATAGACTGCAACTTCATGAGAATGGTGACAGGTAATACATAGATTCATTTAAAATTTCCTTTTTTACAATAAAATTATTTTACCCTTTTGGAGGAACCCCCCTTGACCTCAACGCTAGCTGAGAACTCTGACCCATACTGTTCCCTCAACAATGGGTCTGAACTGACATTGGTATAACCTAGGAAGTCCAGAGAACTCTAACAGATCTTGGCCACCTCTCCAAATGTGTGCTGAAGGGCGTTGCCTATGACGTCCATGGGAGTCGTGCGCGGAAAACGTTTATCCACCATCTTAGGCTTGCTTTTACCATGGTCCTAGGCTGCACTCATATTCCCTTCATTTTTCTTTTTTTTTACACGTGTGGAAACCCCCTCAGGCCGTCACCCCACGTGGGATTGCGGCGGGGTGGTGTGTCGCAATCGGACCGACTAAAACCACACGGTGTGCCACTCTGCCCTGTAATAACACCCGCTATCCCCAGGCCAGTCCTTATATTAGTAGAGCGACAAATTGGAATGAATAGAATGGCATATAATTTTTAAATTTAAATTGCACTATATAGCTTATTAAATAAGTTTTGGGTGTTGTAAAACAATTAACATGACACTGTTATACATTACATGCTTTTCTTTTCTAGCAATGGAATTGGTCGACCAGCAAACCTAGAAACAGAAACTGGCAAGCCTACCCTTGGGCTCCGCAAGTCGTGGAAGAAACGCAAAGAGGTAAAAACCACTGATAAGCGAGCTTCACCTACCGATGACCGTCCACCCACACCCCCACCTGTTGATAAAGATGAACGAACCAGACCAGGATGGGACTTCGTTGCTGATGATTTTGAAGGTATTAATTTGTGCAAATGTTGATGTAACATAAATAATATTCATAACACTGTCTAACATACGCCATTGAAATGCTTAGATATTCGATAAAAAAATGAAAAATGTCCTTGTAAACACATGTTAAAACAATATTAATATAAAATTTCAAGAAAATACTTAAAAAAATTGCATAAAGACAAATTTGTATGCAATTGCTTTCTTACAAATTATAAAGTTTTCACTACATCTATATAATATTAAATGTTAAGTTGGCTTATTTACGCATCCAAAATTTCTGCAAATTTAAATGTGCTCAAACCTGTGTATTTGACACGGTATATGACCTGCTTCAAATATTGTTTTTATCTATTTTTCTCATATCCTATCAATGCAACCACAATGTGCCATAGCAAAGTGAGGCAGGGTACAGCTAGTACATAATAAAACTTTATAATTGTTTTGCCTATAATGTATTTCTATTTGTTCTAGGTACAATGGTTGTACGCACAATGTGTTTGGAGTGTGAAGCAGTGACAGAAAAGGCTCAGGCTGTTTGTGAACTGTGTGTGCCTGTAACTGATGATGAGGAGGACGAGGAGCCATTCAAAGCAGCGTGTCTATCTACTGAGTACCTACGTGATCAGAATAAGGTGACTTAGCGTACACGCCGCCGCTCCCTAAGGCTGACTGTTCCAATCAAAGCGACTCAGGGGCAAACACCATATCCTGATGCATGGGCTATAAAAACCACAGGCGCCGTACTGATATTCTTAAACCTAAAATGTCTGATTGATTGTTTGATAAGTTTAATTATTAATAATGTGTACTAGTATTGACTACTAGTGGAAATGCCTTTATCATAGTGTTTATCGCTGTCCACTGCTAAACGCAAAAAGCCCCCAAGGAGCGCTAACCATCCCAGTTTTGGGCAGTCTGCATCCATCCATTCATTAATATATCAATGCAAAATTGTGTACATAGACGGTCTGTTGGTCTAGTGGTTAGTCACCGTGACTGATAAGCCGCAGGTTGTGGGTGTGATCAAATAATTCAGTACGAACGTTTTATCTATTTTGGCTGTATAAATGGTAAGTATATTTATCAGCATGGTTTTCATAGCACAGGATTTGAGTGAAGACTCATTTTTATTATAATTGTGTAAAACAAAACATAATATAAATCTTAAATTAGCAGATTTGAGATTCATAGCAAGCACATTCTAGTATTACCCAAATATATGACATTATGATTAAATATTGTATATACTTTTAAAAAGAATAATTTAGCTCAAGAGTATTTTGATTAAAAGTGATGGCGATTGCCTACTGTGCCAATTTTAAAGCCATTTGCGTATGCGTCGGCAGGTTCTGTTGTCATGAATGTATAATGAGCCAAAGCAATACTTGTTTACACCTTGCTGTAGAGAGGTTACGGCGAAGTTCCCCACAGTTACTAAAACTTTTCAAGTTATATACCTATATATTTCTGTGATTTTGTTTATATTTTAAATAAAAACACGTGTTTTTCTTTCGAATTTCTCAACCAACTTTTATTTTAATAATACTAACAACTACTAGAATGCATGAATGTAGTAATCTTGCAGCCGGATCTCGGACTATGACATTACTTGCTAGCTCTCTGTCAAACAACATCTTCATAGGTGCTTAGCTAGCTTTCCAGATTAAGTGATTAGACAGTAGAAAAGTATCTTTTCGCTTTTGTATATATATATATCACATATCACCGGTGAAGTTCTAACAGATAATTTCGTAATTTTTTTGCGGTTTTAACATTTGTAATTGATTTGATTAAAAAATACGCACTTCCTTTCAACTCGTCACAAAAGACATAGCTAACTAGTAGCGCCCCTTTTTTAAATAAAACTGAAAATGCGGAAGTAAACTTTTTTAGACAATTATTAATAAGCTTTAGACATTTATTTGAGACAATATATGCCTAACACTATTTAAAGAAATGTTATAAAAAACCATTTCATCTTCATGAAGAAATTTTATTCCACCAAAAGGATGCCCCTTTTTCGCTTTTCTGTAAAGTAGATGTTTTTAACTTACCCAATGTTAGTACCTTACTGATATCGATTCGGTGAAATCTAAATAGATACAATTCGATCTTAATATGAACTTACTTTATTTACTTTAAAAATCCGCCAAATGAAAGTCGGATCCGAACGCGAATGGATGAACCATTCGCGAAAAATTTTTTGAACAGAAAATGCAGATACAGATTACAGCACAGATTAATACTAAAATTATTATTTGTTATACAATATAGAAATGTATTATAATTAGGTGTAATAACATTTCCGAAGAAAATATTTTAGTCGTTACTACAATTAAAGCGGGATAGTGTAGTGGTTTGTGTAACGGACTGCTATTCCAAAGGTCGCGGGTTCGATTCCCGCTCAAGTCAAACATTTGTGTGCATGAACATTTAATGTTTGATTTGGTCTGGGTGTTTCTATGTATAATAAGTATGTATTTACAAAAAAAAAGTATATATGTATTTATATCAGTTGTCTAGTACCCATAGTACAAGCTCTGCTTAGTTTGGGACTAGATGGCGTTGTGTGAATGTGGTAGAATATTATTATTATTATATTTACTTTTACGATGAAATTTTTGTATTTTTATATTCTATTTAATACTCAATATTTTTGGAGTAGTTTATACAAAAGTTAGTAGTTAATACAAAAATTTCCTCGTAAAAGTAAATATAATAATAATAATATTCTATTATTATTATTATATTTACTTTTACGAGGAAATTTTTGTATTTTTATATTCTATTTAATACTCAATATTTTTGGAGTAGTTTTCTCGATAGTGAACGATAGGAAAATATAATATTACAGTACTGGTGCGAACGATGTCTTCGTTACAACGAGGCGCGGCGTAGCGTGGCTTACTCGCGCTTGCCGCGCCTACTTGTGCTGCAGCTCAAGCGGTTCAGCGGCGGCATGGAGAAGATCACTCGCCACGCGCCCACACCCCTGTTCATGCCCTGCTTCTGCGAACCCTGCGCCAAGAGGCCGCCGGATCAACCTCCTACGCACAGGTAACTTTAGATAAATTTTGTAAAGAGTAGCGTCATTTTTGGGTTCATCGTACTGGTGGTGAGCTTAAGGCTTAAAACGCACTTGCGGTTAGCCGCCCTGCAGTGTGGCGATGTGGTTCATCGCATATCGACTTTTATATGAAAACGACTGATGTCAACGCACTGACTTTCTTTTGATGCGGTTACCGACCGGCCGACAGTATATGCTGCGGCAAGCCACAACGACATAAAGCATAACGGATCACGGTTAACCTCGAGTGCTTTTTGAGCCCAAGGAGCCTAGGTTTTCCGGTGATGGGCGGTCGAGTTACGTCGATAATAATAAATTCAATTATTATTCACGATCTCGTGGTCCCCTTTCACGTGCACGAGTCCAAGTATAGATAACAAAATGAAGGAATCCGCAGTAAATGAAGTGCGCTCGTATACGCAGGTACGTCTTGTGGGGCGTGATAATGCACCTGGGCCAGACGCTGACGGGCGGGCACTACGTGGCGTACGCGCGCGCGGCGGGCGCGGGGGCGGGCGCGGAGGCGTGCGGGCGCGAGGCGGGCGCGGGCGAGGGCGCGGGCGGCGGCTCGTCGTTCATGCGCTCGCTGTTCAACCGGCCGCGCCCCGCGCCCGCGGGCTGCGCGGCGCGCGACTGCTGCGTGCCGCGCGCGCGCGACCCCGCCGCGCCCGCCTGGCTCGCGTGCGACGACGACCTCGTCAAGCCCATCTCCGACGAGGAGTTCGAGGACCTGCTGTCGGCCGAGCCCAAGATGCGCTCGGCGGCCACGCCCTACCTGCTGTTCTACGTCAAGAGCGAGGTCGGCTAGGGGCCCGGGGCGCTCCCAACGTGAGTCGTCTCTTTGGATGCTTAAAAGACGTGTAGGATGTAGGCGCCGTACCGAGTGTCGGCCCCGCGTGATATTACGACTGTAGCTAAAATATATATTAGAGTGTATAGAGATCGAGCAGATATATGTTAAAGATATAAATACGTTGCACATATTTTCACTCGTTGCGATCTGACAATATGGACTCGTGTAAGGGTAGATTGTACCTTGTGTATGAATAGATTCGTATTGTACGTCTACGTTGATTCTATATTATCTGTATTAACATGACTGCGTTAACGAAATTATTTATTGGCCTAAATTTTCCAAAGTTAAACGTAAAAATTACTAAATAAATCGGAACACATTTCTTTTTTTGAAATTGAAAGGCAATTAACTATAATGCAAACTGAAATCTGTACAAAGACTATATAAACGTATACACAACACACACATGTTATACGAATTGATCATTTTTACTAATAGATACGATGACATCGAACTAAAATCCTAAAATCATAATGGAATGAGTACTAGCACTTTTGCAGGTAACAGGACAACAAGGTATTTCTATTGGCCTTTTACGAACTACTAAGCTATTGAATGCTTAAAATGTCCACTGTGTAAAGTAAACAAGGTTAAATTGTAATTTGTTAAATTATTCATAAAATCTTATGACAATACCCTAAACATGTATAAAAATAAATATGAAACCTTGATTTGGAATTTGGATAAAGAATTTAACAATACAATAAAATATACACTATAATTTATAAAAGCAGCAATCATAGAAATAGAAAAATTAAACTATTTACAAACTCAAAAGGCGGGGGTGATTTCTACGGACAAGTGCTAATATTTGTAAAAAAATTGCCTGGAAACTCATTCCAGTTCACACAAAACTGTTTAACGGTATAACGATCTATGATAATTAAAAAGTTAAATTATTTTGTTAATGTTGCACTACAGGACCCAATCTCGCATTTGTCAATTATAACTTTATTTATTTATGGTCGAAACCAATATGTATTCAGTCTAATCCGAAATCCTTATTATATAATCAACTCTGTCAGGTTTAGAGGTTCAAAGTAACAAACTTTGAACCACTAGACCTAAGAATCTATCTTAATATCATTTAAAAATAAAATAAATATAACTTGAATTTTGTAGTGAACAATATAGTCTACTTTCACAAATATTAAGGAGGATTAAAAAAAAAAAGAAGAAGTTAGTGTATGAAGTGAAAAAAAGGCCAATAAAGCGATGATCTGTACTTAATAAAAGTGGATGGCCATCCCAAACAATCTGTGACATTTAATGATATGTGAAGCTTCGAAGTCTCTGCACCAAAACCAAGTGACTATTTCGTCAGCCACTCTGTAGTGTCTGTTGATCCGAGATGGTAGATCAGAGGTCAAACATTCGCCTTAGATTCGGTCCGTCCGTGCAAGCGTGGTTGAGCCCGGCGGCCTAAAAAGCGTGTTTTACTATATCACGGCCGTCAATAATGTTTAATGTAACATAGAGAACAATGCATAGTAATTATTCAAACCGTAGGATATCGGATTAGATAGACTATTAACACAATAGATAAATGAGTATTTTAAATGTTATTTATGCTAGAAAATATTCAGGATTCGTCAATCGCAGCTTCGAATTCATAAAATATCAGACCAATTTATTAACGAGTAACGTACCTGTCATTATTGGTATGTAATTATTTGTATTAATAACTTAAAAAACTTTGTCTTTAAACTCGAAGTTAATGTAGGGGTTTTATAAATAGTATGGGTATTGATGATTATTTATTCCTTACTTTTAACAAAAACTAAAAATGCAACATTTACGTCGATCGATGAATTGTGAGTGTATTGTCATAACTCGCTTCTAGCGCTTATTGTCAACGTGATTTGCCAAGTGCTCATCAAAACTTAAACGAATAGCTGAGCTTATTCGCATTATATATCCTTTTAGTACGTAAAATAATACTTTTTATTGAGGGAGACGGTCCATATATATATAATGTAAAGTTACAAAACTTTCTAAAGTTAATAACTGAAATTCAAATTTGTATTTTCTTTACTGACACTGTTATCGCAACTTTAAACTTTTTTTTTATTTCATTTTGCTATAGTCAATATAAAGAGTCATTATTTTCATTTTTCAATGACATACTATTAATAAATCTATTATTTTGTCTTGTTCCCTTCTTTTCCCTAAGGTACAGATAAAATAATTATACTTCATGTTGGTATCAAACCCAATTTGCTATACCGGTCTACCTATTAAATCAGGGTGCCATCCGTAGTTCATCCATGTTTGTTTTTAATTGTACTTCAATTGTAAACAAGTTGCTCCAATAAATGCATCTGGAAACAATCTTTTTTTATTTTAATAATGCTCTTCTTTTGATTCGAAAGTTGATTGGTTTTTCTTACATGTCAATGATTCTCAGACAATAAGTCACAATGTCAAACCCCATCACCACTCTGTTTGTTGGTAAATGTTAATAAATATATGAAGCATATATTTTTATGGCATATTTATGTTAGCGCTCAACAAAGTACATGTAATTTTGACACGGATTCTATTAAATAAAAATCAATGTTGTTACAACCAGATCTTGGTTTTTATAACTATCAAATTTTTAAGCGTAAATCGTCATTGCTATATTGATTATTGTGTACATAATGGCGTAGTAAATGTATAATTAAAACCTTATGTGTTTGTAGGTGTTATGAAAGGTACAGTATTAGTGAGGTTGTTTGGTCTACAACAGGTATATTGTTAATTTAGAATGCTTCTGCGAGGGTGCCTTTACGCGTCTACGTATATTTTACTTTAAATTAAGGATTCTGGGATAATATGTTTCACCTGCATTGAAAAATTGTGCAGGGAAAATATCAAAATTAACCTTGGGAAATTAGTAAGGTTAGGGCTTTTATAAAATACGTTTTATTTATTAATGTTATTGTAGGTAAAACTGACATTCTTCTTACTTCTCTTTCACATTCTTAATCCAGAAACGATGCTATCATGAGACACTTCTAGTTAAGTGTCATTTTCAGATTCTTCTTCACAGCCGAAAGACATCCACTGCTGGACATGGCCTCCCTGAAGTTTTGCCAACATATTCAGATAAAAACAACTAAACGAAAAAAACTTTAAGTTTCATTTTTGTTGTTTATTTACCACAATTATTTTTTGTAAACAGTTACAAAGTCATTTGCGATTAATTTCAATTTAATTTTACAATTAACAAATAAAAAATAATTAAATTGGAATAAAAACTTTTATGCTATATTTTGTCCACGCTTTATATAAGTTTTAAACTTGAACTTGTAACGCGTGAGATTAGGCGTGTTCAACGAACTAACTCTTTAACTTTATAATACTAAGTACTATAGATAACCACAGATAACAAATGTATACTCATTATACAATCTTTGAATTCGATCGACTTTACTTGAAAAGCAAGTACCTACATCTTAAAATTTTTTGATTTTTCAAAATAAAATTATGCTTGCAGAAGCAATTTACATTAATAAATACATCATGTGATTTCAAAGACTAATGCGATTGAATAGTTTAGCCAATATGGGTACGAAAGTTGTTGTTTACATTGTTTATTATGAACAAACCATGGCTGTCAACAATGTTCATGTCTTTTATATTTCTGTTTTATTTCGCTATTCAAGCAAATTACTTATTGTAGTACGAACCGTTGACCTGCTAAATTATTGAAAATATTATACATATAAAATCTAATATTATAATAATATAAAGCTAATTTAATATAACATTTGGACCTTTAAATTGCAAGAATCATAAATTATAAACTACATATATAATTTTGAAGAATATACAAGGGGCAAGGATAATACCATTAATACTTTCGGTGAATAAACGTCGTCGATGTTATGCCAAAAAACCATAAATAAAAAAGCCTGATACTAGCCTAATACTAGTTTTCCTATGCTTTTAACAAGGTTCAAAACAATTTACGTCGTATTGTATGAATTCTATCTTGAAAGACATCCACTGCTGGACAAATGTAGTTACACACAAACCTAGAATAACAGAGATTTCGAGACTAGAAAAACAACATAAATGCTTGCTATGCAATTCGACTGCTTGATGTTACAATTTTATAATCTATGGCTATAATAGTATTCTATGACTTCGGTAACCAAAAGGCTAAGGTCTGATCGTAACGTTTAAGGTCGGGTGAGATATGGACAGCACAAAGACATGATGTGAGCAAGTTGTACTAATTAATATGGTAGAATATTATTATTATAAAATATAAAAGATGTCAGACAGCGCTGTCGAGTTCGACGCACGGCCTACTCATCTAACTTGCTTTTCGGCCTACATTACAACCGCTCATTACGATCTTTCGGCTGTCCAGTTGTCTGACCAACCTAAGTTTTTTGTTAGTTGTAGTACCTACTATCGGTCTCTGGACGAAAATCTTTTTAAGAGGTATATTTCAGTACTATGGTACTCGTACGGACCCGGGTTAACCATGTATTTTTGTGTATGACAGCTAACAGTGTATAGTTTTATTTTTATCTATAACCAAATATACATAATTGCTTTCAATTCCGAGTATACAGTCGTTTTTGCATATAGTAGGAGTATGTAATTACCAATTGTGTAACATTTATAAGAAGTTGTAAAACTATTGTTTATTCATTCTAAGCGTAGAATGTGTCTTCATCTTTCGAGTTACGAGTCTTTATGAGTGGACAATTGTACTGGTGTCATTTAAAGTGTGTATATGATGTCAGTTAGCAGTATAAAATGTATGAAAATCGGAACAAAATTTAGGGCAGGTATTATGAAATGGAAATCAAGTATTTATAGCGCGTCTAGTAACTTCACATTAGACATGAAAGATTGTCTTCACTTTCAGGTATACGACCACATGAAAACTCACTAATAACCAAGCTGTAAGTATAAGAAACCGAGTCTTCAGTAACGAATTTAAAATATATTTTACAATGTTAAGTCGGTGCAGTGACTTCACTGTTATTAATTTGTTCCCAATTTCGATGTTAGACGAAATATATAATAATAAAATGCTTGCAAATGCTACTTTGTTAACACTATACAATCTAAATAATGTATAAACTGCATCTGTTTTTAACATATCTACAGCATTCAACTTAAATTAATTTAAGTACATATATTTACGAGTTCCTAACCTAACTATAGGTACATCACAAATGAGATTGCTAAAACGACTGTAGCACTGAATTATGTTAGGTAATGTAATACAAGCGAAGAAACGAATATGTATTCATTTGACTAAGTCTGATTATAAATGTTTGATGATTGTAGTGGTAATGATTTATTCAAAACCTACTTATGACACTGTTTGATAACAAAATTCCCGTCGGACAAGCTTTTCTTAAAATTATTGTTTTGAAATTAGTATAAGTATTTTTTGTTTTACAGATACCTCCCAAAATCCTGTTGAAATTCTTGTCATAAACAGTCGCCACAAATGAGCGCTGTTGACAGTTAAGGAAATAAATGATATAAACGAAACGAAATTGTCAATTTTAGCATATCACTTACAGTGATTTAATTTAGTGTAGGTAGTGGCTTATTTACCCTATCTAAGGCAACACATGCCCGGGTTGACGCGTCACTAGGGGCAGCAGTCTACCTTCCAAAATAAACGAAAAATTTTAAACAATTTAGCTGAATATAAAAGCAGAAATAATATTTCTGTAAATGTTTGACACGTTGTGTAGTCATAACGGAACGTACTCCTTAATAGAATCTTAAATGTGATAATTTCATAGTATTTTCGTAATTTGAGGCGCATTAATTCTTGTGCCCAGAGCGCCAAACTTTTAATTAAATAACTGATTTGTGCAAGATCTATGATTACCAGAACAAACTTCGAGTTTACATCTAATATAATGGGTGAATTATATGCTTGTATTTATTTATTTTTATAATCACCAATACTTCTGTACCAAAACAATCTGGACGATTCTGAAGTATAAAACAAGTAATACAGTAGATATACTTACCTTTTTATCATACCGCTACCACTACAATGGTCGTCCATTCTAATTGATGCTCGACTTATATACTCTACCGAAGATAAATTACTTAATTTTATGTGTTATTGAGGATGCCATTCCAAAAACCTTTCAAAAAGGTAACATTCTTGTCAGTAGATGTACGACTTTGTTTTTTTTATTGAACAAAATATTATTATTATCTTTCATTTTCATTGTAAATTCAATTTGTATAATAAAAATAAGTTCAATGATTCTTTGTTTTATTTTTGTATACCATAATTAAATAAATAATAATATAGTACTAACATATACGTACTTCCTCCTGTTTCGCTTGAACACTCATCTGGCTCCAGTCGGACACGTCCAACGATCTCGCGTCCAGAGGTCCTAGTGTAAGTTTATTTCACATCAACTAGGTCTCGACGGTGATCGCGTCCGGCGTTGCGATTGGCCCTCAGGTCTTTCTAATCTAATGCTAATCCGTACCAAAACAGTATAGTGTTGGCGAGTATGGTTTTTGGAATCTCATATAGCACTTCGCCACGTCTTTGTTTAAGATACGATCCGTGAAAGGTAACCAATCAGTACGAAACATTATTGATTCTGTGAAGAACTGTATGACTTGATGCCCAGGGTAACACTAGCCGTGTCATCCCCAAACCTTAGAACCTAAATAGCTGTGCATGTTACCTACAGTTCCAGAGGAATTTCATACAACCGAGCTCCGACTAGCATGAGCGCCCTGCCTGCGAGGGGCTACAGTACGGGGTGGTTGAGGAAAGAATTTACAGGTTTTACAAGTGTCGGCAATGCCTAAGGACACCTGGAGCTGCACGCGTCAATAGACTATGGGTGCCGCCTACGCCAAAAGTAGTATATTTTTAATGGTTAAAAACAACAACTGCTGCGGTTAACCGCCTGCTTTAAAGTAACCCAATTATGAGATATGTGCGATAAATAAATGACCCAGTGTTTACCCAGTTACCCTACATCGAACAGTATAGAAATCTGCATCGTCAAATTACTAACTGACCAACAGGTTGGACAACTCGGTGGTCGGTTCGGCAACCCCCGTGGTTTAAGCGGTCGCCACGCGCGCCACTTAGTACTACGTGTTGTGGGTTCGATTCCCACATAGGACTACACTTTGTGTGATCCACAAATTGTTGTACTGAGTCTGGGTGTTCTTTGTGTCCGTTTAATGTATGTTTGTAAAATTCCCCGCGACAGGATATATTCCTAATGCGGGGTTGTCTTTTTATAATAAAAACAAAAACGAAAGTATTCGCCTTCGTTTTTCTTTAGCGAGTGAGTGAGGTTTTTAGAGGTCAATCCCCTGGAGGAGGGGGAAGATCCTGGAAGGAGGGGCACGCAAAGGGCGGCATCGTATATGTGTCTCACGAGTTGTATGTATCCATGAGCAGCGGTGGTCACTTACTTTTAGGTGACCCGTCTGCTCGTTTGGGCCCTGACAACATAAAAAGTAGTGAATTTTATATTACAAATAAACAATTGAAAATATTTAGTGTTTTAAAGCATCGTAGATGATAAATAGTTAGGATATTGAATACCGTTGTGCCGAATATATGTATCTACGATTTACTACATCGTGGCGATATATGTTACGACGTAACACGCAATTTTTTTTTATTAATTTTGATCTGAAACGTTTTTAGCTACTTATATTAATGAACCGCCAGAATCATCGAATCGATAGTGCAGCAACCAAATTTCCCACTCTCATGGTGTATGAATATATGTCTGTATGTGTGTAGACACATATATATATGTATAGTGTGTGTATATGTATTTATATATATGTGTGTGTGCGTATGTATATGTGTATAGTGTGTATTAATTGATTGTGTATAAAATTACGTGTGTTGTGTTGTGTAGTGTATATCTTAGTGATTAGTGTTATAACCTATATGCGCCTACTTCTCACGATTTCTACACTACCTAAATGTTGACTGGGAGAGAATGCCTAGGGCATTAAGTCCGCCGATGTACAAATGTGCATAAAATTATAAATAAATAAATAAATAGGTACATTAATTGATCACAAACAGATTCAAATCAAGTTAACCATTCATCAATTCCTAATTTTTATACTAAGTATACACATAGTACTCACACCGTGTTTAAAAGCGACGAGAGTTTAAGATAAACCTAAATACCTATAAAAAGCTATGAAGGTAAATAGAAATAAAAATGGTATACCTATCTCTTATGTAGTAGGTACATAATGACTATGCAGAACGATGTGTAGATTGAACAAAGATACCCGATTTACTTCAATTAAGTTCTACCATTTAACAAGTAGAGGCAGATAATCAGTAGAATAGTGTACTTTAACTAAATTTTATTTATTGACAGCTGACGAAGATAAAGTGGGTAGGATTTATGAGCTTCATGATAAACTATCGGGTCAACTAGAAGGGAACAGTTTAGTGACAGTTTTTAAAGAGTTAACGTGTCTGGATTGATTTTCCCGTTTCTCAAAATGAAAGCTGTTGAAGGAAGAAAAAACACATTTAAAGTAAGTATTAATAACGCTTATCACCTTTTTAAATACCTGTTGTTAATTCTATGAGCAAAATATTTATTCTCTGAAAACGTTAGAAAGTTTTAAAATTGTAACCAAGAAAGTCGTAACATACCTATTTTTATTTTTGTGTAAGTATACCTTTTTATTATTATGAAATATGGTTGGTTACAAAGTACGTACTTACCTATAGAACATAAACAAAACTGTCGTTATTCTAATATTCTCTAATTGTAAAATTTAACTAGGTACTTATTTTTTTAAATCATCTGTCTGTTATCCTATCTTTGGCGTGATCTTCTGTTAAGTCGACATACCTAACTGTTACATAACATCAGCTCGCCTGATGTTCTAAACATTTGGCGATGTCAGACTTGTATTAAAATTTCAAGATTAAATTCATTGATGAATGTTCTTTGTGTCCGTTTTATGTCGTCACCGTAATGCTAAATTACGGATAATTTTATTGTTAACACATATTATTACCGTTAAAATGGCTACCTTTTACTTACGTGTCTATGACATTGGTTTGACCTTTATAAGTCCTTGCAAAGCGGCTGTCAAACTACGACAACTACGTCAAGGGAAAAACAGTTTCGAGTTTCGATAGCAGAGTTTCGTTACTTTTGTTAGTGGCAGTGGTTGTTTTATAGAAGTTTTCTACAAAATTACGAAATTATTTAATAATCATGGCATTTGTAAGTACACTTTACATTATAATTTTTAAACCAACCAAAACATTTTAAAACTTTTGAAGTTATTCTAAAAGTTTTATCAGCTAACAATTAAAATTAGAGTATGTCTCATGTCGTATGATTAAATTTATTATGACATTCGTCGATTGAGTGATCTGGTAGGTATAGTTATTTGATTTGTTTATTAACCTGTTGCAGACCCGGCTTATGATTTGACGGGTGAAATAGGTTTGATTCTAATAATATTTATTGTAGCCTTGGTTCTGATTTTTCACAGGATAAGCATGTATGTAAATGTACAAATGTACACTAAATATACTAATTATGAATAATATAAAATTCAAGTAGGTATCTATTTTGTATACATATAGATACTTTATTATAATTAGTATAACCTAACCTAAAAAAGGAAACTCAGGCACCAGTTATCATACAGACAATTCTATTTCTCTAGTCTAGATTAATGATAATATTAAATCTTTTATGCTTGTTTTTTTTTAATGGCCCAATTTAATTTATTAAAAGCGACGATTTACGAAAAAACAGTTTAAAAAGTTTTTGAGATTTAATTATCTGCTATTTTAAACAACAAAACAACAAAACAAAAAACTATTTCTTATATTATTAGGTCTTTACCTATGAAATTGCCGTTTTGTATGCAATAAGTGAAAGTACTTTTTTTTTCAAACTTTTTTATTTCTGTTATTCGAAGTAATCACCCATGTAATCGACGCATCTTTGCCAACGCATTGGCAGTTTATTGATGCCCTTCTTGTAAAAATCAGCTGGATGGGAGGCAACAAACTGTTCAAAGGCATTTTGTACTGCCTCTCAGGAATTGAATTTTTTACCCACTAAAAAGTTGTCTAAATTTTGGAAAAAGTAATAGTCGGTAGGTGCAAGGTCTACCCTACCACGCTGTCGTTTAGCATCTTGTGAGACCTAAGTTGTGCTAATTATTGCTCATAAATCCGTGATCAAAACGTGCCCGGCCCAGACCACCTTGAGTCACTTGAGTACGGCGGCTTTATCTATACTAATATTATAAAGCTGAAGAGTTTGTTTGTTTGTTTGAACGCGCTAATCTCAGGAACTACTGGTCCGATTTGAAAAATTCTTTCAGTGTTAGATAGCCCATTTATCGAGGAAGGCTATAGGCTATATATCATCACGCTAAGAGCAATAGGAGCGGAGCACCAATGAAGAATGTTTCAAAAACGGAGAAAATTTATTACTATTGAGAGACGCAGACGAAGTTGCGCGGGTCAGCTAGTGAATGATATCTGCGAATGGGTTTTGGAGCGTAGTACTGTATTTCTTATTCAGTCCGTCAGCCGTACGCCCAGAATACTTACTACGCTCCATGGCTCGCTGGCAAACTTCATGCAACCGAAACTTCTTTGTCCTGTCTTGCCTGGAAAGAGACTAATTGAGATATAAATATTCGTGAACATATGCAATCTCCGCACCCCCTTCAAATAGTCTAACTTTGGTGCTATTAATGATTTTTGTCTTTGACATGTTTATCCGAAGTCCGATCTCGAGGCTCGCCATGTGCAGGTAGCTAAGCGTGTTACTTCATTCTGTTGCCGAAGAAGAAAATAGTGCGATATCTTCGGCAAATCGGAGGAGCTTTAACCTATTTTCACCGACGTCTATACCCCTGTCTGCCCATATTTCAAAAAAGCTTCTAAAAATTTCTTCTCAGTAAAAAGTATGGTGATAATGGATCTCCTTGTTTGACTCCTTAGACGGATGACTGCTGACTTGGATCGAAAACACTAGCCCTTTAGTATGGATCTTAATTGATGCGGTGCTATGGTTATTGAATTTAAATTAAATCAGTTGTTATTTCATAATAATATATTGCTGTATGTAAATTAGTTGGTCATTAAAAAGTATTCTTAAAGAATAACACTGGGTTTAAAATATTTGAGAGAGAACTTTATAGACAGAGGCAGGTAGGTCCCTATGGTCCCTATATAAATATAATAATAATTGTAATAAAAATCGGTAAATCAATATTTATTTCAATATATATGTATGTGTATATGCATATCAATATATGTATTTTTTTCATAATATTGTTTGGATTATGTGCCAAATAAAACAATACCATTTTAAACCATTATTTTAAGTAACTTGTAGAGTAAAAACTATTAAAAATTATATATTTTGCATATTTCAACTTATTTCTAATTTATCTATAGTATGTAGGTATGTACTTATTTAGAAATTTAATATTTGAGTATGTTTATCGGCAGACTAGTTAGGTACCATAGCACTAGTTTGGGATCAACTGTTTTTTTTGTATTGATGTTTGTTGAATTTTTTTTTTAGTTATTTTGGTCCCATTTCATTTTTTTATTATATCTCATTCGAAATTTTTAAAAATTAAGAATACTGCTTACTTTTTGCAACTGCAACTTTTTTAATGGTTAATTACCACATACTATTAGTAAAATATGTATCGGTAAATAGAATGAGAAACCAAATAATATTCTGCATAAAGACAAGCTTTACATCGAGCTAGTGCATACTACCCTGCATACACAATACACACCGCAACCCTTTCTCATTCGTCCCCTTTGTACCACGGCTGCTCACACACGGTTGCCTCTATCGATTCTAAACAAGGTGTGTGAAATAATGAAGCTTAAAGCTATTTTATTACCCAAAACCGTGACCCTTTAAAGCGACATAGATTATACTTTTAACGGAATTTCACATTTTCGTAAAATGTTGATTACCACAGCGGATGTAAGAAAACGGAAACGGAATTTCTGAAACACATCCGTATCTGTTTTTGTATCACTAACCGGAAATAGAATCGATGAAGGTTTCTGATTTGTCCTAAAACGTCAAAGATTTTATTCAATTTTTGCACGCTCCGTCCTCGTTCAACTTATTTTGTTTGATTAGCACCTCCTGAGATGGACTTAACTAACTAGATTTAAAAGGAATAACAGTTAATTCATTTGTTTTAAATTGGCATCCTTTCAAAAACTTTAATTTTAGAATTAATTGAAGTATCTAGTAGCTGACTCCAAGAGAAGCCAATAGTTCCAAGGGGAAAATGGTTTACGAACGTGTAGTTATTATTTTAATTTAAAATAAAAATCCAATAACAACGGGTTTAGTTGATTTCGGGGATTTAACTTACCTCGCGGCTCTGGCTACGTACTGCGCGCGCCGATCGCGTCTCATCGAATACGCAACTCCGTTTGCACGGCGTTGCAAGAATCCGTTTTTCATTCGGAAGGGCAGTTCAAGATCACGAAAGCCGGCAGTTCGAGCTCCAGTAATATTCAGTGAAAAACTCTTTCATTATAGCTGTAACAATATGGTTTTCCCTACACTCTACGATGGCAAAGTCGAGGTAATGTGCTTTGGTGATCTATTTTAGTAATACGCTGGGTTACGTGAACGTTACATTCATTCAATATTTGCAGTAATAATTTTGCTATAATTGTGATTCCCATAACGATTATTATATCTGTCGGCGGTTTTTCCGCTGAATAATTGCATTATCTGTGAAGATAGAGAAATTTGCAACATTTGTAAAGTATTTCTAGTCATAAATAAATGTTCCAGTTGTTATTATCAGCTGAGACATATGTTGCGGTAGACAGATAAAGTTTCTATTACCCGTATTTACTAGAGTGAACCTTATCTGCTTTCAATAATCATAACAGGTAATCAATCAACACAAGCTGTATGTTAATGCTCTTTTAAGTGTAATTGCTTTGATTTAGTATGCTCACACACAAACTAATAATTATTGAGATTGATAAGTTAGTAATTTAAATTTCGATACATCTTAAGCTTTGTACAATTATAAATGGAGTTATTTTCTTCATTAATTTTATTTAATCTAATGTAATGTTTTATACAAATTAGCTAGATTACACAAATAATTACCTTGTTGGAATTGGTATTACTTTCATAATTATGGTTATTAGGTATAAATAACATAAGTAATTTAAAAGAAATTCATCAATTGGGCATAATAAAATTATGAGAATTCCAATTATTTATTAAGACTTAGGAGAGTATTTTTAAGTGAAAATGTTCATTAAATAATAAGCTCTAGATTATGAACTTATTGTAAACAGGAAAAAGCGCTTTGGTTGGTTTTGACATTACAGGTACCCCAGTGATATGCCCTAAGCGGCCCATTAGTAGCAGTTGTCTAATTATATCATTGGTACAGAGCAGTCTAAGCGCTCACCTTTAGGTGTGTTTGCAATACCAGAGGTCTCAACCTTGAAGGTAGTTAGGAATAACCATACACATTGGATTTACAATTTCAAAACAAAATAAGGGACTGGGGACATGTCAAGTCAACAGTACTCTCTAAGTTTTAAAATTTTAAGAGTGCTGTTTCTAAAGCTAGGCTGGAGTGATATCATGGCCTCACAGAAAACGAAAGTTAACCTATTCCTTTGTTGCTTTTCTGCAGTCCCAAATTCTGGGGGGATACTTAAACTGCGGCAACACTTGTATCTCTTTGAGTTTAAGGTGTCTATGGGTAGTCACTTACCATCAGATGACCAGTCTGCTCCTTTGCCCTTACAATAAAAAAATAAATACTCTTATAATGTCATTCTTTCAATATTATTATAAAAAAATATTTATTGACAATCAGTTTCTGTAGACTAATAGTATAGTAGTATAATAAAATAGGGCAAGCTTTTAGATAAATACACACATGTTACATAAATATATGTAATTTTAACCGGTAATAGTAATTGGTTTATTTCATTCATATATACAATAAACATTCAATCTTCACATTGTGCAGAAAAGTATTTAATAGCAACTGCCAATAGTCTGTTTCGTTTTTTTCGCTTAAGTTTTGACTTCATTTATCTTTGTCTATGACCAAAATCCCAGAACTGATTTCTCACAGGTTTTTTTATTGAATATGGTGCAAACGGGCAGACAAATAAGTGAAATCACTGTGACTAAAAACAATAACTTAAACATGAGATTATGATTTAAAAGTAGCAATAATTTTCATCCATAATTATGTTCTTACCTGTAATTTTATTGCAAGTAAATAATTATTATTACTTATTCACATATCATGTTGCATACACAATAATGTGTTATTTTTTGTCTCACTAACTGTATAGAGGTAGGTAACAAGACACATCCTATGCTCACATGACATTGTCATGTATCCTATGACTCAAACACTGCCACTATACTGCACACATTACAGTATACTAGCATAGACTTAACACTAATAGACTGTTAGTAGGTGCTGTATTAATAGGCTTTTACTATAAGTATAAAAATTGTTGTTCATTTCAAACAATTTCTTGATATGTGTAAATCATTTTATACTTAGGAAATGACACAATTTGTAAATTCTCGCCTAAAATGTGAATAGGTATTATTTATTTAGCAATTATTCTTTTGTAAAATTAACTCAAACAGATCTGAGATTTTACATGGTTATTAGATTTTGTGATTCTTTATTGTTTTTTTCATACCTAAATATAGAAAAACTTACTAGCTGACCCGGCAAACGTTGTAAATCATCAAAGATATCAAGTCGTGATTAAAAAGTTGGTAGAAGTATGAAGAAGGGCGTAGGGATCGTCGAGTCGTTTTGGAGGAGTGCGACCACAAACACCGTGACACGACATATTTATATATTAGATCAGTAATGCAAACACAATAAATAAAATGTTTTTTCTCACCACAATATTTCAAGTATTTCCAATATATATTATGCTTATAAAATACAATCTCTCAAGACAATCAAACGCAAATTCTATTCTATACACTATAGAAAAAATGCATATTGAGAAATTGTAGGTATGTACTTCATTGCGTATCCACAAGCACAGTATAATTAAATAAAACGAAATAACGAAAACTTTCCCAATTAAGACATTGAATCGGTAAATTTTAACGACTCTGAGTAGTAGAGTTGCTTTCGAAGCGATATTTTAAAGACCATATTTAATGGTGATAACCAGTTATTTTCTGTTATCTGTTGCGTGTTTATAGGCAGTCCTACCTTTTAGCATAAGACGAACTGGTTTCTGTAGATGTGTTAAAAAAATAAATTTTCATAACCCTAATTTTCTTAAAGTTCTCCCTAGCATACACAACAATATATTGAATATATGTTACAAAATTGAAAGAATAAGGAAGTTCCGTCGGTAGTGGTACTATATTATATTTATGTTTCTATTTATTCTCTGTTTAGTTTAATAATTTTCTTGTTGAAGTCAAAAATGATTTCACTTAATTAAAGTATAGATATGGGGGCAATTGCGGTTGTTTAACAAAAGTGTACACATTCCTATCCTAGGTTAATGTTTTGAACATTTCTTTAACCATTAGAACTATTATGCTTAATAGCAATATTCCTCAATTTTCCAAGAAAGAAACCATTGAAGATATCATCGCCCGATCTAATTTCGTTGAAATGTTTCAACGATGTTCGTGCTACAAAATACTGTACTATTTTATATACACTTGTTAAGTATCCGTAAAATGTTAAATCTAATTAAGTACAGTATGCAATTGTAACAAGAGTATGGGTAACATTTTTTAGCACTGTTGCTGTGTTGTTTCCATAAATTATTTAAGAAAAAACTTTTCAATAAAGTAAAATACTGCTTCATTACTACTAAATTTATTAATTTTAACTTATTCTTCTTGCTATACTTATTTGTAAATGAGCAATATTTTGCCTAGACCTGTTAAATAGAAACTAATGGGCATAATATACAACGGAAAATATGTAAATTATTTTGATAGATTTAAATAATGTAATTTTTGTTTAGACGGGTTCAACTGAGAAGCCAGCAATGCAACAAGTCGCCATGAACGCAGGAACACAGCTGGAACACATCTGCAGTCTAGATATCGACTCTAAGGCATCCTACATACGTCTATCTGGCATTATCTGTACTATCGGTGAGTGTATTTCATTATTTAATCGTGCATAACAGTTTATTGACTATTAGTAGTAATAGTAATGTAATATTGCTATCAATATAAACAGATAAAATTAATTCGTCTGTTTGTAATGTCAAAATATTAGTTTTTTAAGCGCCCACTGTTTTTTGCACGAGACTTAAAAAAATAGTTTTTAAATCTTTTGTCAGTCTGTCTGTTCCGGGCAATCCTCGAAACGGCTGTACCGATTCTAATAAGATTTAATTGGCAAGTAGTTGATTAAATATGGAGTAACTTAGGCTAATTTTCTAGCCGAAAGTATTTAGCGGTTCGAACAAAAAAATCGATGACAATCGAAAAATATTACAAAAATATTATAGACAAACATTTTTATATCAAATTCAATATTATAAATCAAGTACCTATTTCCTATATAAACCACTATAACTCACACTGCATCGGTAAATGGTTCTTTAAAATCAATATTACTATTTTACTTTCATAGGGCCGGCTTCCCGAGATGTCTCAATGCTCGAACGTATGATGGAAACCGGCATGAACGTGGCTCGTATGAACTTCTCTCACGGTTCACATGAGTACCATGCTGAGACAATCCGCAACTGCCGCGAGGCTGAGAAGAAATACAGCGCCAAGCTTGGAAGTCCCTTCTCACTCGCCATTGCTCTTGACACTAAGGGACCTGAGATCAGAACTGGACTGCTTGAAGGTGTAAGTATTTAACATCAACAGGAACCTATATTAACCCTATTTAACTTATTCCTGCGTTTAATAGTTTTGAGGTATTTTTATGATTGTAGCTGCTAGGCGCTGCCCTATATTACATATTTTATACATCAAAATTTTTGTTATATTTTGTTGTACTAAAACGTTTCATACGGTTTCAACAGCTTTGTTTTAGAATAGAAAACTATAAATACCGAGATACAACCAATAAATAGCGTCTGTCTGGACTATAGAGTATGATAGGCCATTTGCCTTGAAATTCTTTATTGAAAATATTTTTTTAAAATAATACTTTATTACTTTACTAAAATATTAAGTCATATTTTATAACAATTTGATGCGCGAGACAGAGTCTTGAATTTTGAAAACTGGATAGGTATCTTTTAAATATAATTTATTTTATATGAAACTGTTTGCGTTTTCCGTGCGGTTCTTAAGAAACGATAGGATTTCACTTTATTTTACTGCTAATACGAAATAAACATTAATAAAGGTACATCTGTCTTTAATACGATTGACGAATAAGATATTTTAAAATTTGGGTTCAATTTTTTTTCATAATTTTTGCGGTAAAAATACGTACGTGAAATCTTTAATGTCCGTTTCAGAATTATACGCTGTATTAACTGTCCCAAAAAAAAAATTGTAGCTATTTATAAAAGACGCACATATAATGTAAACGACAGACAAGCATTAATTGCCATAAGAAAATCGTATCGTAATGTTTGTATAAATAGGTAGGACCTAAGGTCCCATCTACGGTTGACTACATTACCATGACGGGATTTACATTACATACTGATTACACATAGCAGGCGATTGGATTCCAAATGTAACTAATCGCCTGCTGTGACTGTTTAAAAGGCGAAATATTTGTATTATATGCACATTGCTAGACCTGTACACAGAAAGCCCCTTATCTCGAAAATACTATTATCTAAAGTACATAAATAAAGTTTCCTCTTGTAAATATTTACGATTGCCGTTTTTTCACGTGGGACAATCGCCTGTCTTTAGAATACTGAACATCGTGTAAACAGAAAACATGAATCGTGTTTCTATTTCTGAGACGTGACGTGCTGTGCCGGAAAGTGTTTTACTTTTATTGGCTTCAACGATAAAAATAATGAAACGAACACGGAAATTAGATGTTGAGTTTACGGTCAGCTGATGGCAAGTGATTAGGTACTGCTGTCCATGAACACCTTCAACTCGATACATACAAGACCGATTCTAGGCTTGTATCTATCGAGTTGAAGGTGTTCATCGTTCTTGTATCCATTGAGGGACGTTGTTCCCCGGCAAAGCATCAATGATCTTAACTAAAATTTAAAATACATATCAATTGTGATCAAGTCTTATAATACCATTTTATATTAAACAATTTTATAAGTAATCTGATTAACCATTCTGAACCATTATTCTGTAATCAGGGTGGCTCAGCCGAAGTGGAACTGAAGAAAGGTGAAACCATCAAACTCACCACAGACCCGTCCTTCCAAGAACGCGGTAACGCTCAAGTTATATACGTCGACTACAAAAACATTACAAATGTAGTGAAGCCTGGAAACAGGATCTTTATCGACGATGGTCTTATCTCAATTATCTGCCAGTCAGCGTCAACCGATACACTTGTCTGTTCTATCGAAAATGGAGGTAAGTTATCGACAGAACTCCTTTTGTTAGCTATATCTTTACTGCCAAGCACCATGGGTTGTTTTTTTTTTGTTTTTAGGCGTGTTTCATCTAATCTGCTTCTAAATAAATTCGTTGTAACTAATCAATCAATCAATTCAATATTACAGAATATATCATATCTTTTTAGTAACTGTTCCTCATAAATACGGGTATTCATGATCCCACTGCTTGATTCAGCATGCTACTAAGGATCGCATCTATGAACGGAAAATAGGAATAATAAAGGGTTTTCCAATAAGAGGTGTTATTTTAGTATTCAAAGAAAAATGCAATTTTTTAAGATAAATAATCGGCTGTTTATTTTATAATAAAGAGGAAGGTATCAGCCAAATGGCTACCGCGACCACGCTTACAGGACCATATCCTTTTAATGAAATTTTGCATAACCAAATCGCAAAGTGGCTGCCCTATGTCCTCGATAGCCTCACGAATTCCATCTTTGAGGTCTTGAATCGACGCTGGGCTGTTGGCGTAGACCTTATCTTTCACGTGGCCCCAAAGGAAGAAGTCGCAAGGTGTTAAATCACAAGATCTCGGTGGCCAATTGTGATCACCTCTTCGAGAGATAACACGGTCAGTAAACTTTTCCCGTAAAAGAGAAATGGTTTCGTTGCTTGTGTGGCAGGGAGCGCCGTCTTGTTGAAAGTAAACGTTGTCCAGATCAATACCATCCAACTCCGGCCATAAAAAATCATTAATCATATCTCGATAGCGCAATCCATTCACCGTAAGTGTTGATCCAACCTCATTTTCGAAAAAGTAAAGTCCAATGACCCCGCCGGACCATAAACGGCACCAAACAGTCACACGTTGAGGATGGAGAGGCTTCTCAACAATAACTCTTGGGTTTGCCGAGCCCCAGATGCGACAATTTTGCTTGTTGACGTAGCCTCCTAGGTGGAAATGGGCCTCATCAGTCAAGATGATTTTTCGATGGAATTCCGGATCATTTTCATGCATTTCAAGTACCCAATCAGCAAAGACACGACGTTGTTGATGATCGGCCGGCTTGAGTTCTTGTGTTAACTGAACTTTATAAGCCAAGTCTTTATGCAAAATACGGTGTAATGACGTTTGTGGAATGCCCAATTCCAAAGAACGACGAGGAATGGACAAACCTACGTTTTCTTCAACACTTTGGGCTACAGCAGCAATATTCTCAGTTGTTCTTGAGCACGGGTGCGTGCACGGGTTTTATTCTTCACATCACTAACTTGTCCCAACAGCTCGAATTTTTCCACCAATGTCTGTATTGCGGTCCGACAAGGTGCTTCACGACGACCAAAAAATGCTTTAGTTTTGCGAACTGTGACTGCAAGATTTTCACCATTTTTGTAGTGAATTTTAATAATTGCAATGCGTTGTTGAAGTGTGTATCGTTCCATTTTTAGTAATGGCGTAAATTCTACTTGTCAAATGTCAAAAAATAAAAGCTTCAAAAGTGACAGCTACCGAGTGATTCAAAATAACACCTCTTGTTGGAAAACCCTGTATATTATAATCACTATTAGTAATAACTTTACACATCTCACACACGGCCGCCTGATCAGAAACTAGGCAGAGCAGGTGCTATGGTAATCAGACTGCTGATAAACATACATGTATATTTCTAAATACACAAATATCATAGAAAAATGACACCCGGACACAGAACAAATGATCGTGCTCATCACATAATCGTGTGGGAATCAAACCCACCACCTCTGGTTTACCACTAGACCAACAGGCCAGTCGAATATTAATCATATCGTAGGATAAGTCCGTGTGGTGAAGGATTAAGAATACAGACTGTCACCACCCCTATTCATCCCTTGAGTGTCGTAAGAGCCGACTAAGGGAGAAAACTATACGCAGAACAACAGCACTGCAGAGAGAAGGAAAACTTGACACAAGCCCTATACCAACCCATCTGGCCAGCGTGGTATAGTAGGCCAAAACCTCCTTTCTAAGGAGAGGCCTATGTCCAGCAGTGGACTATTAAAAGCTGTTGATGTGATGTGATGTGTGATGATCGTCACTATACGTCGTGAGGATAATGTCACTATACAAATAAAATAACATTTCCGTAATTTGTTATCAGGTACGCTTGGTTCAAGAAAAGGTGTGAATCTCCCAGGTCTTCCAGTAGATCTGCCCGCTGTTTCCGAAAAAGACAAGTCAGACTTGTTATTTGGAGTTGAACAAGGTGTAAGTATTTCTTTCATAATTATTTATTTTAATATAATGTTATTACATTCCTATAATAATTAAATATGATGGTGACTTTCACATAAACAAACGGTTATGTCAATTTTCATTAGACAATATTTCAGAATAGTTGTCTATTTCATAGGGAACGAAAACCCGGTACTTTTATTAACCAGCCGCGGATGACGCTAGTGATTGTACAAACACATGAATAAATTGAAACTAATTATAGCTCGCGGCTTAGCATGTCTGCGTAGTTTTTTTCAGTCACTTAAAGTATCATTCTGAACCGTGCTTTTTCTACACCTTATTAGGTACATTACCATTCACAATACATATTAGTCAGAATCCCTAAGAAGTTACTGAGACCCGGATAAATCACGCGATGACATTCCAAAATACAAAGTGGTCACTTATTCAATCATAATCATCATCAACAGCCTTTAATAGTCCACTACTGGACATAAGCCTCTCCTTAGAAAGGAGCTTTTAACCCACTATACCAAATTCAATAGCTTTAAGGAATCATCATCATCATCAACAGCCTTTACTAGTCCACTGCTGGGCATAGAAAGGATGTTTTGGCCTACTATACCATGCTGGGCCAGGCGGGTTAGCATAGGGTTTGTGTCAAGTTTTACTTCTCTCTGCAGTGCTGTTGTCCTGCGTAGTTTGCTCCCTTAGTCTTTAGCTTAGCTTTAAGGAGTAGTTTTGGACAAAAAAACATGCAAATGACAATTTTATCGATTAATGATGAGATAAGCAGTTTTATCTCGTTCACAGAATGATAAAGTAAAGTGCCTAACTATTGACACTATCGTTAACTCTATCAATGAAGGATACAATCCAACAAGTAACGTATATCCGTATTCTACTGGATGTAGGCTTCTACGGACAAGGCTTTATTTTTTGTTCTAACTTACCGCACTTTCTATTATAGCCCAGATTAGGCTGAGACTAGTTTATCATGATTATGACGTAGGTACCTTGAGCCTCTTCCAAATTTGCAATCGTTTGAGAGCCATCTTTTGGCGCATATGGGCCAGGCTCGACCGGCGTGAAACCACGGCCTGACAGAAAACCGGTGTTTGTCAGTCGTTGACTGTCACCGAGTTAGTGAGATTACCGGAGGCAAAACCGGGGGAGGTTTGGACTTCGGTAAAACCTCCTCTGTCCTGTTTCTGGGGTGGGACTGAAAGGGCCTCAACGCACTTGTGACTGTTGAGTTGAAGGTGTCCATGGGCGGCGGTAGTCAAACACTATCATGGGACACGTCTACTCGTGTGCTCCTTAGATATAAAAAAAATTGAAGTGAAAAGTTCTTTAGGCGCGTTGGGCATTTTTGAACAAAAAGAACCAACAAAAGACTGAATTTATTGGTTTAACGAAACACACATTTTTTGAGATGGGAAAAGACCATTGAATTCGCGACACTGTTACCGTTTTCCGATTCTATAAGTTTTCACTTCTGTCGGCACTCCCGGAGTCCCACTGTTTTTTTTTATCGCTCAGCTGTTACGGTTGTTTTTCCTTGCCTCTGCAGTATACTGCGAATCTGAAAACTATAAACTTTCGGGACCTAAATGCACCGAATGGCACATCCGCCTATAAAGCTTAATGAATTTCTTCAGACATCCGCTCTACATTCATCTTTTCAACATTCAAAAGCTACGCAGCACTTTCTCAATTCATGTCGTTTTCTCTTCTTTCGACCCTGTTATTACACTTACCTTCAGAAATCTTCCTTTTATCACGGGACCTCAAAAATATCAGGTTACTTGATGCGAAAATGACAGTTACAAATAATCGTTAACAAAATTATCGCACCATATGCTTTCAGCCCACTAGTGATTTTTTTGCCCGTCCCTGAACGAACCATACCACCATGTCCCAGGTTCTACTCAGAATTCTTTCGTTAAAAGATTACTTAATTAAGTTAATTTCAATTCGAACCAGTAGCGCGTTTAAACAAGCAAACTCTCAAAAAGCTTTATAAGTATAGATATTTAGAAAACTCTTGCTGTTAAGTTACAGGAACAGGTGCTCTTATGAAAGTGCGTCTTCGTTATTTGGGGATATGCAGTTTCTAATATTAAAATTTGTCATTCGCTGTTCGAAAGGATTACTCACTTTTACCTTTATCAGAATTTAAACCGAGTGCATTGTTTAATCACGCACTCATCTAATGTTTCACTGAAAAGTTAAGGAATATTAAATTTATCATTATAATAAAACGTAGGTGGTAAAACTACAAAGATAAAAGAGCCCGCCTTAATAAAATTAAATTGCCATGTGTGTATAACATACATACATACATCATGTGTGTAGTTGTAACTGTGGATAACAAACTCTCACATGTTGTCAAAAAACTTTTGAACGAAAAAACAAATACACAGAATTGATATTTATTAATTGATGTAAAAAAGGTGCATATAATGCTTTAGTTTAATGCTAGAATAAAGTACCATCTCAAAAGTTATTTAAACAAAATATTTGATCTTACATTACAGTTAACTTTAAAGTAGATAGACGAGAATTATTATTTTATCGCTTAGCGTAAATATTTTAGGTAACAATATAAACTTCAGGAAATTTATGAGAAAACGAAATATTGGATTTGTCTCCAATACTTTTTTGCATTATAACACCGTCAATGACAAGCGATTTGCTAATTTTGTCTTGTGCACATATGTCATTGAGACCTCAAAGAAATATGCGCATGTGAAAATAGGAGATACAAAAGTGCAACTTAAAAAGGCCCTTATTCCTTTAGGAAATAGGTGAAGCCTTACTCGCAGCTAAAGAAAAAATAACAATAAGTACAAACACCGAAATTATAATTCAGTTACTGATCGAGAAAGTAAAAAGTAAAAGTAAAACTTTTTACTCTAATAGGGTAGATTCCTAGGTTTAAAATGAATTATTTCGTCTGTATCATTCATTTCATCATTTCAAAGTAGAGGCTGAATTGTCCTCCATTGTCAATTTTTTTTTTTATCGATTTGATATGACATTAACTAGGCATGACGTAAATGTACCGCGTCTAGCGTTTTGACGTTTAAAAAAGACACTGATTTGACTTGACAGTCATCTACCCTATTCAGGACTTAATTACGTCAAATAATAATATCCTAACCTGAAAAAAGAGCCTAAACTCTCTTTCCTATAGCTTTGCTCCTCTTCAGTGTATGTTCCCCTTGGAACAGGAGTCTAGTGACCAAGGTTATTTTCTTTTACTTTCTAAACATAAGGTTTACATCGTATGGTATTCTTGTAAATATCTTATTGATCCTTTTTTAATCAGGTGGATATGATCTTCGCATCTTTTATCCGCAACGGTGCTGCACTGGACGAGATTCGTGGTATCCTTGGCGCGAAGGGTAAAAACATCAAAATCATCTCTAAGATAGAAAACCACCAAGGTATGGTGAACCTCGACGAGATTATTGCCGTAAGTATTGTATTTTCTTCTACTGATTTGACCTAAGAACGTTATTGTTTCAGTGAAATATTAACTTCAAGACCACGGCCTCATTCTTGAATATCTAATACTTAAAAGATCAGCGTTTTCACCACTTAAAACATAAATGCAATGTTGTTTTATAATGTTGTTGAGTTAAAGCATCCTTAGGCTTTACCCTTATTGAGACGCTTTTATTACTAGTTTTTTTTTATTATAACCCGGCAATCTCGTGCGCGACCGACCCGCGGGGTGACAGACAGTGGCGGGGCCGAGGTAGCGCGTCATTCTAGCACACGGTTACACACGAAGAGAAGTGTTTCCCTACACCACCCGCTACCCGCTGACATCTTGAGTACCTCGTCCCCGCCACCGTCTGTCACCCCGCAGGACGGTCGCGCATGACGTTGATGGACTATAATCCAGGTTTTTGGAGAAAATCTCTAAAAAAATAGTAGGCATATATCACTCTAACAGATGTTATTAAGTTTGTAATAGATTTTTTTTTTCTTTAGAAAAGACAACTCTCATTCAAGCCAATCGCTATCTGTTAAGACTAGCACAAAATTGGCGGATGATTGTAATTTGCAATTTATATGCTACAGTGGTGTTGTGTCTTACTGAATCTAGACCTTAATAGAATGCAGTTATCACGACAAATGGTGCAGTTCTAACTTAATGGTCCACCTAGTAGACTACAAAATATTGGATGAAAATATCTGTTACAATGATTTTTTTTATCTGTTCTGTTGATGGTAGGATTGTATTTTACCATTTTTTTTTTTCAAAACACGGTAGTATTTTGTTTGTGATGTCGGATGCAAGAGCATCAAAAAAAAACAGTTGTTAAGCAGAAGAGTAAAATGCAGTAAACTATTATGTATAGATAATGCCTATTTTCGTACAGGTAATAGTACAGTACAACTGAGATTTTAAAATGACCCGGTGTGTGACAGTGACCTTCACTTTTACAAATACATGTTAGTTTATATTGGTGCAGTAACTCTTCACCTTTTTCCCAATGCAGCTCTCTACCTCCTTGCTATTGCAATGGTGGTCCTTACCCAGTAGAGAAGCTCGAGTATGTATGAATTTTCTTTTTAATTATTTCCAGGCCTCAGACGGTATCATGGTCGCTCGTGGTGACCTAGGTATTGAAATCCCACCAGAGAAGGTGTTCTTAGCGCAGAAAACCATGATTGCTCGCTGCAACAGGGTGAGTATATTTTAATTCATAAAAAAAATATTTTAGAATAATAAGTAAAATTAATACAGAAGTGAAAATAAAGGATTGTACGAAACTATTGTTTTAAAAGACAACTCCCGCACTCGGACTATATCCTGTTTCGCTGGGGACTTTACAAACATTTATAATACGGATACGAAGAAAAAACAAACTTAGAACAATAATTTGTGAATCACACAATGTGTTGTCCCATGTGGGGATCGAACCCACTGCACTCAACCAAGTAGAAAGTGGCAGGGTGACCGCTTAAACTGCAATCAACTCGACTGCCACTGAAGATACCATGAAAACTCCGTTCTGTGTTCTGTTCCGTATTTCATTTAGCCAGAATTTTGTATTAAATTCTCATTTCATTTCTTACAGGTAGGCAAGCCAGTAATTTGCGCCACTCAAATGTTAGAATCAATGGTAAAGAAGCCCCGCGCCACTCGCGCCGAGATCTCAGACGTGGCCAACGCCATCCTCGACGGGGCTGACTGCGTCATGCTGTCGGGGGAGACGGCCAAGGGAGACTACCCTCTCGAGTGTGTGCTCACCATGGCTAACATCTGCAAGGAAGCTGAGGCCGCCATCTGGCAGAAACAACTCTTCAATGAACTCGCTTCTGAGGTAATTCGCCAATTAATTCCTATGACATTTTTTATTATTCATTTAATTAAAAAGAAATGTATTAGTATGTACCCAGTGGTAGAACTTGGACCCATAATTAAAATATTTTTAACTATCTTCGAAACAGGAGGAAGTTCTCTGAAGGTCGCTTGTACTTTGTTTGTTGCCTCCGAATTCCGATTTAGAAAATTCTTATCTAAATTTTTCTATAATTTATTAAAAGTTACAATTATTGTAAATTAACGAATTTGAAAAAAAGAAATGTATTTTATTTTTTAACATTCGTTCAGTGTACGTAAATCATTCATTACAAATTGTTATTTTCTAATAACGTAGTGAAGTGGAACAATACAAAATACATTTTCAGTCAATCCGATTAAAATTACTTAACATTACTTAACATTTAATAAAAAACAAGAGAAAACTTGTTGAAAAAACACTTAATGAAAACTAAATTGGTTGTGCTTACAGTTAGTGAATAAATGATAAACAATGAAATTTCAATGTAATATGAATGAATTTTCACATAAAACTTTTTTATAAATGATATTATTTAAAAACAGTATTACTGTCAAGTATGGTTGCCTTGGCTATTACAACAATTTTCTTGCAGTAACATGTAATTGTCCAATTGTCTATGTGAAGACTGGATATTACAATAATAAATCAATTTTATAAAAAGTTTGCCTGTCATTTGTTATGTATTCTTTATACGATGAACTTGTAATAAAAGTGTTGCTTATAATTTATTTCGTGTGATCGACAATTATTCTATTTAAAACAGTAAATAGAATAATAGTTAAATAGAATAATAGTAGAGTTTCAATTATTATTTTGTGAATTAATCCTATTGACTGTAGTCAGTCTTATTGCGATGTTCACTACTAAAAGAAAGTGTGTTTTTCTTTACCTTTCTTCATAACTTACTTACTGCTGAACTACTACTACTGACTATCACGATCATTAACCACTGGTCTACAACTAGACTAGTGGTTAATGATCGTGACTGCTAAGTCAGAAGACGTGGGTGCAAATGCCACCTAGGACAAATAATTTGTTTTGTGTCTGGGTGTAGTTTATCTATAATATGTATGTATTTAGAAATTTATAAGTATGTTTATCGACAATATGACTACCATTGTACAGTCAGCTACTTTGGGTTCAGGCGGCGTGTGTGACACGTGTCAAGTTATTATTATCATGAGACTACAGGTTACAATTAAGTGGATATGTGTTAATATTGTTTAGGTGGCACCGCCCATCGAACCCGCGCACTCGGCCGCCATCGCGGCAGTAGAGGCGTCCGCTAAGTGTCTCGCGGCCGCCATCGTGGTGATCACGACGAGCGGCAAGTCGGCGCACCTGCTCAGCAAGTACCGCCCGCGCTGCCCCATCATCGCCGTCACGCGCCACGCGCAGACCGCGCGCCAGGCGCATCTCTACCGCGGCGTACTGCCCATCGTCTACCAAGGTAAGGCACGAACTCTCATCCATTTCTACATACATATACAATACTCATTGTATAGTATCCAGCCATAGTAAAGCGATCGCTTAACTACTTTCAATATCATTGCTCAGTAAACGGTCACCGATTCGGTCCAGTCTATTCTGACTATTGAAAAAGTGCTTATGTTAGAGTTGGACAGTCAAACGCTACGGACACACATAAACTTAAAATGTAGAATGCGCTTCTGGAGCGAAATATTACTGTTATTAATATCGTTAATCAAAATCAGAAACTTTTATTTATATTTAGGAAAATGAGCGAACTTTACAGTAGTCGCGTATGATGTTTTAACATATGAGAACCAACTCTGCACCTCGTGCATTTATTGGTAAAATCAAGTACTCACCCACTCATAAAGCACTCACACTGATTCCAGGGAAGCAAGATGCATGTCGGGGCACCAGGGCCTTCCGTTCTAGGGTATACCTGGTTCCCCGGCTATTAGTACCCGAGACGGCGTGCGGTTTTAGTCGGTTCGAGTCCGACATGCCACCGATAGGTGCCAGGGGATTTCCGCACGAAAAAAAAAAGGGAAGCAAGATGAAATATGATACATATCAATACCATTTAACTTCTGATGTACATCACTAGAGGTTATATTATACATCATTTCATTCTGCAATATTATACACCGACAGAAGGCGTAGCGAGCGACTGGCTAAAGGACGTAGACAATCGCGTACAAAGCGGACTCAAGTTCGGTCGTATGCGTGGTTTCATCAACACCGGGGATCACGTAGTCGTCGTTACCGGATGGAAGCAAGGCTCTGGATTTACCAATACCGTGCGCATCATGTAAGTATTGTTACGAGTATCAAGCATGACTAGACTACTACAACATAATTCAGTGGTCCTCATTCTCTTTTCAATCGCCTCGAAGATCACTCTAATCTCTTGCTTTAAACCTGTCCGAAGTCGCGCAACGTACTTGTTGCTTCGGCTACCAGGTAGTCTTGATAATGTCACTATTATTCCATGCTCTATTTCTTACTCATATTATAAAGGTGAAAGATTGTATCTATATATGGATGTTTGTTACTCCTGAATGCAGAAACGGCTAAACGGATCTGGATAAAATGTGGCACAGAGATTGATTATAGTCTAGAATAACACATAGGCTACTATCCCGAAAAAAATTAGTGTTGCCGTGGCATGAGCAAAGTACAACAAAAACCGCGGTAACACCGCTGAGTGCAGCTAGAATGTAAAAATTTCGTGTTGAATGAGGTGTTAAGAGCTTTTATTCTTATACCTACTTTACATCCTATAATAATACATTTATTTTTCTTTTTCAGCCAAGTGGAGTAAGCATTTCACACGAGCCTATGGCAGTTATATATATATATATATATATATATATATATATATATATATATTTGTTAAGAGTTAGTTGCCTTATTTATTCGTTAGAATATGGTGCGTCAAGGCAGTTTCTTAATAAACATGAAAAGTGAGAATTCGTATAGCGCTAAGTGATTTGTATAAAACAATGTATCTCGGAAAATAAACAATTAGTAATAGGCGTACATATTTTATTATATAATTTGTAATAATTTATATGTTGTGTAATGAATAAAGAATGAACTTATTCAATGTATTTACTTTACATACTGTTTCGTTCCAGAATCCCAAAACAAACCTTTATCACCGACCGATATAATTAGACAGGAAAGCGTAATTTAACTCATTGAAATAAAAGAACATGATCAAATGTCTCTCAGAAAAACCACGGAGCTGTGAGTTTTTGACCATTAGCTTAAACCATGTCGTTCCGTCGGTTTTCAAATTCATCCCGACACCATCTCTTCTGCGTATTACTGACATTGCAACATTGGAAGACGATAATACGAATGGTAGCTATCCAAAATAAAAACGCTAGTAAGAACTAGTGATGGAATAATTAGTCTTCACACTTATATTTAATTGTAAAGTCTTAATTAGCAGTTAGCAAATTAATTGTAGTCGTGAAAATTCGTGAACTTATGAATTAATATGTACACGTTATACACTTCAAAACTTAAATTATCTATACCGACTCTATTATTAAACTTCTTATTAACAAATAATATTTAAGTACCAATTCTATGAACAACTGTAAACTTCATTTTTCGTTCACTTAGCAAGTTAGCATTAGTAGTTTTAGCAGATTTATTAAATTATTAGTCTTCGCGTTAATGCGACTGAGAAAGCACGCGCTGAATGAATAACGCGCTAACGAATAAAGCGATAAAATTTCGAATTTACTCTTATTAATTCACAAATTTTCACGTCTCATTTAATTTGCTAACTGCTAATAGCTAATTAAGAATTTGCAATTAAATATGAGTATGAAGACTAATTAATCCATCACTACTACATAGTATTTGTTAATAAGAAGTTTAATTATAGAGTAGGTATAGGTGATTTAAGTTTTGAAGAGTTATGTGTAAATAGGTATTTTATGAATATATAGGGATATTTTTTGTAAATAGTGTTAAGTAACGAATTGAGGAAGGCTAGCATATCGCGAACAATCCCTATATTGCATTCTGTAATAATGTTGGAGAAAATAAAATATCACCCACTTTTGATTGCGAAAATCGCAGTAAGTTAAATATAATAAAAATAAGTTATTTATGTAAAATTAATACTTAAGTTATGGTCGTTTTTCATTTGCTCTCCTTGTACGAAATTGCAATATTAGCAAATAATATTAGCATTAGCAATTAACATATCAAGACAGGAATTCCCAATTATTTAAATTAAATCTGATTAGCATTAATTCAAATTACTAGGAAGCACACATCACATTATTCAAAAACGCAATACATAATCACCAATTTATATTCACTGTCACATCACTAAGATACCTACTACTACTAGTTCTAAACAGTCTTCAAAGTACTAGCACTTTTAAGTCAATAACCAGTTATAAAAAAATGATGTAAACGTAATTCATGTTCCTGTACGTGTATTGTAAACGACACCACTGAACCACACACGACTGCGGTATCGTTTACATTTTTTTTGTTAATGACTCCACCGCTGACTAGATATATAACGTGTAATAAAACAATCCATTGGTCGAGTTCACAAGGGGTTCGTAAAACATAATAATTGTGTCCATTACAATAATAAACAACTTAATTAATTATTTAACAATTCTTTTTATTCACCGTATCTTTGTTTATTTTCATCTGGTATCTTTTAAGCAACTTCTGGAAACACCTGGAAACGCCCTTTTAAAATGGTCATGGTCGTGATCGTACGTATGAAAAATATTTGATTTGATTTGACAAAAAATATGCATTTGATAAATGCATAATTTATTAATTTTAACGTGGTGTTGTTATAAAAAAAAGGAAACGACACTACAGTGGTATGGTGTCGTTTACAATACAAGTTTCTGTGTTATTATCTAAATCTAAGTTATTGCTGTATCTTGTAATATCTGGTGGAAATTCGTTGTATTGACTTAATTTTGGAATATCACAAAATGAACGAGGTTTTGAATTAGTTGCCTAAGTTTTATCAATGTTTAATTGAAGAATCTATACTCAAACAATATTTTTGAGTAGGTAGGCCATGTTAGAATGCACTTTCAAACTTCAGTAGTATCTACAATTATTCATAATCAAATTTGAAAAAAAACGAGACACTAGAATAACAGGCATGAGATCACCCTGGTGACCTAGTCACATAAATATTATATTTATGTGACTCGTTTTCACATACATATACCTATATCCTAAATACATTTATATCCCTGTTGCAAGGCCTAACATGAACCAATCTACCATCACCAGACGGGCTTATAACTAAAGCTATGCAGGTTTGACCCGAAAAACTGATAGGTAATAAAGATTCCACGAAACCCAGTCTCGTCGATGGAACCTCCATCGGCAACGGCGCTTACAAAACTTTGTCCAATGGTCCAATGGTTAGAGCAACTCAATTACATTATCCCTGAAATCATTTTAATCGCAGTAAAAATAGATTAAAAAATTACGTGAAACGCAGGCAGCGTAATTTTTTAATTTATTCAACTTTTTCTTTTCTGGTTTTGTTATAGACATACACACAATTTCTCTTGAATTACATACATTCATAATATTTTTATATAAAATATTTATATAAACAGCATAATATTAATTTCTTTAAACTTACCTCTGACTCTCTTGGAGTCTTTTCTGAATTGTAAGACTAGCTCTCTTCTACTGTACAAAAATAGTATTAATGTCGGCAGCACTTTTTTTTGTGCGTAAATCCCCTCGGACACCACCCACTGGTAGTGTGGTTATGTTGGCCTCGAAACGACTAAAAACCGCACGCCGTTTTTGGGTACCAGTAGCCGCGGATCCAGGTGTACCCCAGGAAAGAAATCCTTGAAACCCCCACGGACCCCGGGCCATCTTGTCACTGACCCTGGCATGGCCACCATCATAGATTTTAATGATAACACAAAAAATTTGTATCCAAATATCAGAATTCGTCGGTCACTTAGCCGTTTGTACGTCAACTGACGGATTGTATTTACAGTGTGCAGAACTGAGTCTATTCAAGATGTTGGCTATATGAGAATGTATTATTTGTATTTATTCGATTCTTCTTATGTTTTTGATATTTAGAACACTTGTGTGGTTTTCTATTGCACAGACCAGGATCGTATTTACGGTCTTATCTTTTATGGAAAATTGGAGCAACATAGTAGATTGAGTTTTGATTATTGCGCAGACAAGATTGTCAGGCGCTATACATACCACACCTAGCAGATGTTATGACACTTGCGGCCTAGGCCGTCTTTGGCCATGCTGGGGCCCCCGGGCATACAAGAATTTGGGCCCCTGTTGTATAGTAAAACGAAATAAATAGACTCCAAATTTTAGTTGGCATTACTTTACTACAACTTTTTTTTGTGTTTAGACCCCCATAGGCTATTACTCCACCGTGGTTTGTAGCACACGGTGTATAAAATGTAAGTAATTATAGTAATATATATCACTTTATTGTACACCAGATATAAATATACATAATTACCTTAAACTAGTTCAGTACAAGTGGCGGCCTTATCGCCCAGAGGCAATCTCTTACAGGAAACCGTGGTATGGAGAGAAAACATGAAGAGGAGGTATTGGGTAGTTGCTGGTGTGTTAGGAAAGAAGAATAAGAAGAAGAAATGAAAGTAGTATATACATAACTACAAAAAGTGATAATTACACATATATCTATTTGTTGACCTTAGGTGAATATATAACATACTAGGGGGAATATATGGTGGGGGGGTCGTCTACTTGTCTGTAGATGACCCGAGGTATGTCGGGGCACCAGGGACTTCCTTTCTAGGGTATACCTGGTTCCCCGGCTATTAGTACCAGAGACGGCGTGCGGTTTTAGTCGGTTCGAGTCCGACATGCCACCGACAGGTGGTATCCGAGGGGATTTCCGCACGGAAAACAAAAAAAAGGGGGAAAATATGGTGTTATTAGATACATGTAGTTAGATAGGACAATTTATAAGTTATAAATACTTATATTATAAGAAAAAGTGTGACCTTGCCGACTTAGAAGAAGTTAATTGACGTTGCCGTCTTCCAGGTAGTACTCTTTCACTTGTTTCTTAAAGGAGGCAAGTGATTGTACCCGTCTGATTGCGACCGGTAGGGTGTTCCACAACCGAACTGCTTGGACACATTATATACATACTTTTTTTTTTAGACAACTCCCTACATTAGGAATATATCCTGTGTCGCGGGGGACTTTACAAACATACATGAAAGGGACACAAAGAACACCCAGACTCAGAACAACAATTTGTGGATCACACAAAGTGTCGTCCCATGTGGGGTTTGAACCCATAACACCCGGCGTAGTAGGAAGCGGCGTGGCAACCGCTTAAACCACTACACCATCCGTGCAGTGCAGTAAATTGTGTTTATCATTAATTTAAATATTTAAAATATTAGCGATTTTACAATCCAACAAAAAAGTTAAGATGGTGGCGAAATGGAGAACTATTTCCTATTTGGATAGATTGGCAATGCCACATTTTCCGCCACTTGCCGCAATGTACTCGTAATGATATTGTGGCGACTTTGAGGCAACCCTGAGCAATAACAATCTACTGGGCTTGTTATTTCTTATATCGATTTAGTCTAGAAAAAAATGTGTATAGTATAGGCGAATATATCGCTCTGTGTATTCGCTTTTCTGGGGCCATGTGAAGATGGGGGCCCTGGGCACGGGCCCTGTGTGCCCTTATGGTAAAGACGGTACTGCTTGTGGGCTAGTAATTTAAAATAATTAAAAGCCAATAAGTGATCTCAATCTCAT